AGAGCTCGCTACACAGAACTATGTTACAGTATGTATGGTTTTGCAATAATGAGCACTTTCAAAAAGAAAAAAGTATTTTTTCTATGGACATGAGTTTAAAAACATAAGAATATATGCACATATAATGTAATACAAAATTATATATCGTTCGCATATATTACGCTAATGTGTGAGTATTACTCGCATTTCATATGATATACGATAACACGAACTATAGTTCTCATTATAGAAAGTGTGACACTTACCTTCAACATTTTGGATAATTCGAAAACAACGACACACGGAAGAACAAAGTAGAAGGATATTGGAGGACTCAGTCAAGAAAGACGATGAGAGAGAATCGTTTGGTGGTTATAACGCGTGCCGGTTCTTGAATTCAAATGAGAGCTAACAGGAGCTGCAAAATAGCAAAGTACCGAGATCATTCTTTTATTCAGGCGAACTTTGGACTGCACGATCGTTCCCTACCACCTCATGAAATTTTATCGGCGATCCCGGTCGCTAAGGACAAAACAAACAAGTAGAAAAAATGGCAAGTCAGCTCAAGTATGGTATTAGTATATACATCTGCATTTGGTATTCCTTTTCTACTAGACCTGTGTAAATATAAATACATGTACAATGTGTATCAATGTATACTAAATAAGTTTGTCGTTTTCACCTCTGCTACGAAAATTTTATTGAAGAAAATATATATTGTTCGTACGATCAAAATGATTACAAAACAACACGTTTTTAACTTCGTAAAAACTGAAAAATAGGTATTCTTTACTACTGTAATTATCATTATCATAATTCCGCTGCAAAGGTCATCAAAATGATAACAAATTTAAACTGGCTACCTTGTATTCTCAAATCGTTATCTACACGTTGATATCGAAGTCAAAATTCCACGATATCTTAAAATAAAATATTTATGTATCAGTTATGTTATTTTTATTTTGAACTGAATATATTACTTTTTATTGCATATTGATTTTAACGTTTTATACATTTAGAATAACGTCTAACATTTCACATTTTTTTGTGTAAATATATATTTATAGAATATTGTTAATAAATTTCTAATTTATGTACTGATATCTTTTTAGTTATATATATATATAATCTTGTTAGTTACGCTTCAATGTTTATAAACATGTACATACATAAAATGTGAAAAATAAATGAAAAATAAATGTATTTCATACTGATAGTTTTAATTAAAAAAATTTGTTTAAACTTAAACGCAATTGACTAATGATAAAGTAGAGAACTAACAATAAAATGTGTATAGAGACTGGTTGAACGCTTACGGTTTTTGTTTAGTCGAGCAGCAATGGGTACGTAATGTACACGTGTATCTAGTTCTAAATTAGAAATTCACTCTATGTGGTAGAAACGAAGAATCCGCGGTGCGATGATGGCGGTTCGCAACGAGGACAAAAAGTACTCTGGAATTGCCGCGCGTAATTTAAACTATAGAATTTCAGATTGTAGTAAAATTTTCTTGCTTCTACAAATCCCTGTACTACATCTTATAGCCCCAGAAGTTTCGGTATATTTTTTAAAATTCTTATTTCCATTGCAATATGAACAATTGGGTATCTTGCTGTAACAAACTTAATTACTTTCTAGCCAGTACTCCAAATTAATTACTTAATTGCATGACTCGGGAAAAATAGATTTTTGAAATAGTAAATATTCTATAAATATTTTGATCTTCTCATGTAACACAAAATTTAGCAAATAAACTACCTTTTAAATAGTAGTTCTATATAGAAATAGCATTTCAAATACATTTAGTTACGTAATATCCATATGTAACTACTATTTAAAAAAAAGTTTATTTGCCAAATTCTGTATTACGTGAGAAGATAAAAATATTTATAGCCTATTTACTATTTCAAATGTTTGTTTTATGATAACTAGAATATTGGAATTGAACCAGTAGTTTTTTCCAGATATAGCAGAACCTTGATTACCTAGCCTGTTAAAAGAAACGTAAGTGTTCGGATAACAGAGCGATTACTTAATTAAAGTAATAGATTAAATCACCTTATATTGAAATATTTACATACGTAACGTACTGATATAATAAAAAATTTAGACATCAGTGGTCCGGATAATCGAGGCTCCACCGTATTCTGTTTTCCATTGGGTAATTGTAACATGTTCTTTACGCATTGCCATTACCGAATTATATTATATCTTTAGTTATTCCATGCTTTTCAATTTCGGTTTTGGGATTTCTTTTCAATTGTTCTGAACTCTTGAATTTGTAATTTTCAGCTCTGTGGGGGAAATTAAAGAATTAATACAGTTTTTAAATGTGGATTTAAAACTATCAGCATGTTGTTGGTCACGCAGCAATTTCTTCAAATTTGTTGTTGGTTGTGTGCGCTTTATTCGCTTTCGTAATTTCGCGCGCACTACCTTCACCAGAGATGCATTACGGCTACATATAAACTTGTTAGCGTATTTTTGTACGATCCAGCGAATGGGTGCATGGAAGGAGTCGCCGTGTGAGGGGTCCGAGGGGCCCTACTCATCCCTGGAGGTAGGCTTCCCCTACCACTCTCTATTCTTAAAGGCTGATTCAATCGTATCCGGTAGTTTCGTTGAACAGTAAGTAATTTAGCAAACTGCTGCATATAGACACCAAAATCGAGTCGAATAATTTAGTAAAATGATTTTGTTGGGTTTTTCTGGGCTCGCCCCGCCTCACGATTAAAATACACATTATAGGTGCCTGAACCAGCCTTAAGCTTGAACATTGCGGAGGTAGAGTGCGCGCGCCATCGGTTCGCGATTGGCCCGGCGTTTGGCCATCGCCGTCAGTCTTTAGTCTGGTGCGGTGGAACGCGCTCGTGTCCGGTTACGTTTAGTTGGCTAGCCGCGCGTCTTTCATTCATCGCCACTCTGCGGTGTAGTAGCACCCGTGTCGCATCCCGATCCGCAGATTCTCTCGCGAATGGTCCCGGGTTGCGGACGGTACGAACCGGCGCTCAGCGATTACTGAGATGCGGACACTCGCGGCCGAACGGTCGGTGCAGCAGCGTACTTTCCGCATGTAAACACACAATGGACATGGTCGTCCTGTGCACAAAGGACGGATAGAAAGCAGTGAGTGAGTGAGTGGATTATAGTGTCCAAGATGGCGGAGTCAAGCTATTATCAGGTGAGTCGCAGGTCCATCCATGCTCTCTTTGCGAAATGGTCCGCGGGTATTTCGCCGACCGGACCCAGTCCTTGTAGCCGTAAACGAAAATCCTTCGCGTACGCAATCGAATCGGTTCGGCGTCGGTTTCTCAGACTCCTCCTCGCGCTGCCTTTCGTCCTCGGCGACGCGCTCTCTCCCACTTGTCTCTCCCTCGATCTTGAGGAAGGTGTTTTCCGAAGAACCGTCGAAGGATCTCTTCGAGATCGCGGCTATCGACTCTCAAGGATATAACGGAGGCAGGAGCCGCCGCCTCTTCGTTTACGTTTCCTTCCACCTTCGTGCTCTTATTTGTTCGAATATTCTTCTTTCGTGGTTTCGTATTTATTCGCGGGAGAATTGGATCGGTTTTGGATCGAGTTTCGACTGGCTTTTATAGGCGATACGAGTGCCGCGGCCCAAAAATCGCCCGGTTACAGGTTAACCGAGGCGCGACGGGTGTCGCGCACCTGATATCCCTCGCGATTCGTCCACCGTGCTCCTGAGAACTTTCCAAACAGAGCAGTAGCACCTGTTTCGGTCGGCAAGTGGTATTTCCCCGAGGTTACGGGAATAGTCTCTCGCGAGCAACGTTTGTCATAAGCGTGGCCGAGCAACGCAACGGCCGGGGATCGTTCTGACAGGAGGCGGCCGATCGGCGCACGGCAGCTCCATTACGCGGTGCTGGGGCTTAACGCATCGCGGCGATCAAGTCTCCGCGTCGAACGCCGCAATGTCGCTGAAATCTCCCAAAATCTAACCAAATATCACATCTTCGACTCTACAACGAATCGCCGAATAAAATATCTTTTGGAACGTGATATTTTTTAACGTCATATATTTTACGTATTCTCTTCTCTCTCATGGTATTTTGTCATTTATATTTATTGGCCAGATGATCTAATAATTATTGTTATTATAATGACATCGATACGGGACATGTGGAGGTTATGTGAATTCTTGATTAGAAAATTATTCAATGTTGTAAGAAACATTTAGCATGCGTGGGGTATTATTTCATTCAAGGTTTCAATTAATGCTTCTTTGTTACCATTGTAACATAATACCTGAAAAACAGTGATCATATAATTTTTTACATTTTCCTATTTTATTGTAATTACTAGACTACGAATCTTTATGCAAAATAGAAATTGTCTACACGAATTGCAAGGTATGGGAGACATGTGCAATATTTTTCCTTTCTTGTATAATTTTAATAAGTTGAAATTTTCACGAGTGCATAACATCCGCAGTGTAGTAATTGCTTTTATTATAAGAGGTAAGAATACTCCTGCATTGCGCACCTTAATCTTTAACTTAGGGAAAGGTATATGATCGATAACTTTCTGTTTTCGAAATATTTGTTTCTAATGCTCATTTATGACAATGTCTACGGTGTTCGTATTTAATGCGTTCACAGTGTCACTTCCTATAGGAATGTATAGGAATTCGTAGAATCCTCTAATTTTAATTTAATAATAAAATATGAGCATATGAGAGCAAGAAATTTGCTGTTTTCACAGATAAATGTAAAGTATACAAATATTTTACATGTTTACTTGTAGTTGAACGTAAACTCTATTTGATACAATAGCAATAGTACAAATTGCTTTCTTCTTGCTTGCCTAAAATTAAAAATTTCTTTTCGCGGTACCATATTCGCTAAGATTCAGTATAACAAATAATTATCTTAATCCGATTAAATTATTTCTGCTTTATGGAAATTTCATATTTAATGATTCTCACCTAGACTGTGTGCGACTCTTGAAGTACTAGACAATTGCAGATTTGTAAATACGACTTGTAATTATTCCAAAAAGATATTTAGCTCCATCCAGTTTCCACAAAAGAACATACGAAAATAGAAACTTGCAAATAAGTTCCGCCGTCTATTTATAACTAATGATCGAAAAGAAAAAGTCGAAAAATATCCTCGCGAACATGTTGAACACTCTCGTGAACGGTGGCCACAAGGCACAGCCATCGAGCTTTAATATCAACCTAAAATTAAATGTACAAATATATGCGATATCCTTGAGGAGGTTAAATTAAAGGTAACTCGAAGACGTAAAAAGCCAATTTCCGGTGAACCGTACCGTTCCATAAATTCGCAGATTACTCATACTCAATCCCAAATATGTGCTATTCTCAACGAGATCCTCGATAACTCTTAGCCATCGTGTCAATATTTATTTACCCGGATTTTATTTATCGCCGAAGGTGTTAAGCCGGGTGCCTAAATATTTTCGGCGATACACGATAAACTACGCTAAACGTAAGCGACTTCCGGCCCGTGAGAACACAAGCCATGATCGTCACCCTGCGTCGTTGATTGTCGTGCAAATTTGCACGACTTTCGCAATTCGCCTGACGGACGCTCCGCGCAGTGCGTAACCCAAAAATAAAATGGTACACATCGACGGGACACCCGCGCGCGCGCGCCTAATCCTCGCGTTCTATTTTCCCGCGGCGATTAATCATAACGGCACAGCCCGGCTATGATTAGAGTCCTCTGCTGGCGCAAATTTCCTATCGACGATACTCTTCGATTCCACCCTCCCCCCCTCCACCCGCGCCAAAATCAAAAAGAAGAACTTGCAAAGACGAGTTGGAGCTGTTTCTTTGCGGTCAACGCTAATCCTGTTTTTGTAGGTAATATAATCGATTAACCCCTTAACGCGCAGTTTTTTTGAAAAAAAAACCGGTAAAAAAAATCAATTTTTGTTTATGTAAAGAAACACAATTTAAAACATCGTCTTGGCAAAGAAATTAAAGAAATACAAAAATAATCAAAATTTTTATTTTAATCTTGGATTTTGATCCCACATCGCAGAAAAGAGCCGAATATTGCAATGTTACACGTACATCGACTTTTTTATCTTTCTTTTCGAATTGCTATTTCGGAGAAAACATGTTTTTATCAGTAAAAATATTTATTTATACTTTTACGACATAAATAATAATAATACTAGTATTATACTTAGTATATTATTATTATTATTATTATAATACTAGTATAAAAAGGCTATATTTTATTCTTGAGTAAATAAGTGTTATAGCCTACAATCCCATGTAAATGATAAATATCAATAAAACGATTTTTTTTTTCTTTGCTTTCACATTGTTATTTTCAATTCTCGATTATATTCGAGTGTGAAAGATTATATAAAAGTAGATAAGCAATATCCAACCAAATCCACATCCTCAAAGGTTTCCATTTGTTACCACCACTGGTTCAACTTTTCTTTTGGTGGAGAATTTTGATATACTGCGCTTTTGTTCCATGGAAAAAAGTTATATCTTATTCTTGAATAAATAAGTGTTACAGCTTACAATCCCATGTAAATGATAAATATCAATAAAACGATTTTTTTTTCTTTGCTTTCACATTGTTATTTTCAATTCTCGATTATATTCGAGTGTGAAAGATTATAGCAGCATAAAATACAACGCCGCTCGAATTATCTCGAGTGTGCACAGTTTGGCCTGTTTAGCCCGCTCGAATTAACTCGAGCGTACAAGTTAAGGCGTTAAACCTCGTTCGGCAGAATTGGGATCCATTCGGACCCGGAACCACGAATGTTCTATCTAAATGTTAATTTACCAGTAACCAGTGCAACGATGACTCACCTCTCCAATGATAACTTCGGTGAAACCCCTAAACAGAACACGTAATTGTTTCGAAGATCGAGACGTTGCTAAGTTTTCAGAGGACTTTTCTGAGGACTGATTAGGTCCCGAGATAACCAATTTTTATTATTAGGCTGTAACGTACATTGGTCCCAGTTCTACAGTTTTCGTTACAAGCTTACTCAAATTAGGAAGACTCTCTCAGAGGAGACGATCAAATAAACTTCAACTACGATAAGTAGACTGCGGATTTGATGCATTTACAACAAAAATGTGTAGGCGAGACATGACATAACAGATGGAACAGTGGAAGCATTTAATATCACTGGCGTATATTATTCACAATCTACTAAAATTATAAACAGACGAAATCATTTATCCGTTTAATACCTGTTCCCTAGAATCGTAATAAATAACTTTTGTTTTGCATGAAGATCCTCGGTCTAATGATGAGAATGGTGAAAGGTTTCAATAAACACAGATCTAAAAATGCAGTGTCGTAATTTTTATGAAACAGCAGATGTTGTTTGTTAGCTTTAGAGCTCGCTGGTGTTAAAAACAGTATGAAGAAGAAACGAAATTACGTTACAACCTAACACGATTATGGGAGATCCGATATAAGACTGTAATGTACGGTAAATTCTTCCTGATTTTCCTTCAGCTTTTAAACAAAAAATGGACAATTTGGGAATAGGAGATACCATTAGTCGAGCGCAGCTCGATAATTATATTTAATATAATTAAATTATAATATTTATTATAATTTAATATCTTTATTTATGTATATTTTAATTATATTATATTATATATTTTAATTTATATTGTAAGACTGTAATGTACGGTAAATTCTCCCTAATTTTCCTTCAGATTTAAACAAGAAATGGACAATTTGGGAATAGGAGATACTATTAGTCGAGCGCAGCTCGATAATTATATTTAATATAATTAAATTATAATATTTATTATAATTTAATATTTTTATTTATATATATTTTAATTATATTATTACTATTTTAATTTATATTATAATATAACAATTATGAAAACGAGGCGCGAGGCTTGAATTTTTGTTTGAAATTTAGGGAGAATTTGTTGAAAATTATTATATAATTATTATATAAGTATTTGTTTCAAATTCGTTGAAAATTAGGGAGAATTCATCGTACCGAGAAAATCGTGGATCGAGTGGGCCGGTACATTCCATTGATAACGAAATGAACAAAATCGTGAAGTAACCGTACAGGTATACGAGACATTACGTACCGACCGGTGAACACTTCCGGTCACGGCGATATTTCGTGGTGGAAAACGCAACGAGTGTTGACCTCTGCGGATCATTATGCATGGCACAC